GATTGATCGAAATAAATTTCAAAAAATACGATCGCGGTGCTTCGAAACACGTCTATGACATCGTGACGGGTGATGAATCGTGGATTTACGCGTATGAGCCCGAAAGTAAACAGCAGTCGACTGTATGGGTGTTTCAAGATGAGCAAAATCCAACAAAAGTTGTTCTCAAAGCACTTTCAAACAGATGGTCGCCTGCTTTTTCGGAAAAACTGGACATGTCGCAACCGTACCACTAGAACAACGCAGAACAGTCAATTCTGAGTGATACACAACTATTTGTTTGCCAGCTGTCTTCCAAGAAATCAGTAAACCAACCACCGAAAACGGATCACTCTTCACCACGACAATGCGAGCTCTCACACATCGGCTCAAACAACTGCATTTTTGAGCACCCAAAACATCGATTTGATGAGTCATCCGCCATGTAGTCCTGACTTGGCACCGAATGACTTCTTTTTATTTCCGTACGTAAAAACAAACTGAGAGGCCAACGTTTTTCGACACCTGAAGAAGCGGTTGCTGCATTCAGAATGCATGTTTTGGAGATACCTCAATCAGAGTGGCAATAGTGCTTCGACAATTGGTTCAAACGCATGGAAAAGTGTATAGATCTTCATGGGGAATATTTTGAAAAACAATAAAGTGATTTTCGATGATTAATATTTGTTTTTGTCCTCTAATCCTGAAATATAAAAGGCAACCCTCGTATCTTCAGCTCCGTGCACTACTCTCCTAACTTTCTGAAGACCAAAAGAAGAATGGAGAACTGCAGACTAGATTTGTTGAGTTGGGTAGAGGAAGATTACATTGCTCCTTTCTTCATGGATGAGTTTTCCTGTGCTCTCGTTTGTGCAAAAGATTCTGCTTCAGGACCAGACCAGATACATAATTAAATACTTAAACACCTACCGGAAAATGCCCTTTCTTTTCTCCTCCGCATTTTCAATCTGATTTGGAATGAAGATTCCTTACCAAGGTTTTGGCGTGAAGCCATTCTTTTTCCAATCCCTAACTAAAGAAGGAGAGGTCACAACAATCCCTTGAAGTTACCGCCCAATCTCGCTCACAAGCTGAGTGTGCGACTTTAAAGCGACCTTGCCACTCAAATGTCCGCTTCTTTCGTGCTACAACAACACCTGGCAGCAATTTGTTGTATAGAAATAGCGTATATCATAGAAACAGCGTATGACAGCGCCTGGAGGTACGGCATTCTTCGGACCTCAGGAAACGGCTCCCTTCGTTTCTAGTTGATTTTCTTCCGACAAGATCTTTCCCCGGCCGCCTTGGTGACACGTTATCCCCAAGTCACTAGTTAGAAAACTGTCACTCTTTGCCATTGCTATCAATAGTATCGCATCAGCAAGTCAAGAGCCTGTGAAAGCATCGCTCGTCGTTGATGACTTCGCCAAATTCTGCTCCTCGAAGAGCATGCAAGTTATCGAGAGGAAGTTACAGCTTGTCCTCAATCAACTGCAAGAATGGAGCGATAAATCCGGATTCAAGTTCCCCACCTCGAAATGAAGTTGCATGCACTTCTGTAGAATATAACACCTTCGTATTCTTCCTGATCCTTTTGGTGGGAGGTCATCAACTTCCCTTCGTCGAATATGCCACTTTCCATGGCCTGACATTCGACCAGAGGTTAACATGACGAGGCTCTGTGTATCACCATTGAACCTCCTTCGCAAGCTTACTGGTAGAAAATGGAGCGTAGGCAGAGTATGTCTGGTGCGCCTTTATAGGACTACATCCGTCCTATCTTAGATTATGGGTGTATTGTTTATGGGTCAGCCTATCCATCAACTCTCCGGTCATTGAATACCATACACAATGCCGGTATACGGATCAGCATAGGCGCCTACCGCACTAGTCGCATTAATTGCCTCTTGGCCGAGGCTGGTGAACCATCTCTGAGCTGAAAGCGACAAAGTTTGAGTTTAATTCAATTTTTTTAACTTTGCTAAGCTAATTTTACGGACCTCGTGACGAGGAAGTCCGGGAATTCCAAAACCGATGCGGCACTGGAACTTGTTCGCAAATAGACAACTTTGCGAATGCTCTTATGAAGTTCACTAATGCTGATTGGCTCGCATGCTCAATGCGCTTTTTCGCTTTATACATCCAGCTCCATCTCCACTATCGCTGCTACTGATCATTCTTGAACCACCGGGTCACCTCAGTTTACGGGACTTGTTCGAAGGATGACCAAGTAAAAATAGGAATTATTTGCAAACACAATTTTGATGATAAATTCCGTTCTATACTTCGGTAATACAGGATACGAGAACGTCTGCCTCAATTATAACACCCGTCGTAGGATTTGTGAAATAAAATAAACTAGTGGTGCTACAGAGTGGCACAGACTTTCTCGAACTAGTTTTTTCTTTGCTCTGGGCTATATTTTCGGTTTTACTCCACCTTCTTCCCACCTAAAGATATTTTTTTTAATTTTTCGGTTCCTTAATGATATTTCCGAAACATGACTTTAAGAATACTACAGAAATGTAAAACCTCGTTTTATATGGACATTTTCGTTGAAACATTTTAAGAAACTAAAGTCTGACTGTCTGAAAATGCAGAACTGCGAGCTGAATTTCTCAGGATACTTTGAGTTTTCGAGAAACTTTATGAGTGATTACATATTTTTTTGTCTACTTACCGATCTAAAAAAAATTAATTTTTGCGAATCGTCGCCGTCCTAACACAATCCAAATTTTTCGTTACACATTTTTACATAATTAGTACTGTTATATATTTTGCTATTTTCACAAAAATGTTATTCTATCAATTTTATTCAATATTATGACTCATTTTTATGAAAACACTCGTATTTCCTACATCATTACTGCGTGTTGTCTACTCGAGGTTCGCTACATGACGCGATAGGATGTTTTCACTGTCCTGTTCGTCTGCATCAGCTATCTTAGTGACTGAGATCTGTTTCACCTTCAGGAATGAAAAGTATCGCTGATGCCGCGTCTCGTGAAATTAACTTTAATGTTAGAGAAACTTTGCCGATCGTCGACGTATAAATCTTCGCTGAGAATGCCGCAAGCTGCAGTGATTGCTGGTTTGTAGGATGGTTTCTATTGCGTTTTGTCTGCCTGCTAAACGACCGCACTAAATTGTAATAAATAAAGGTTTTACAACTGACGGAAAAGTTGTATGATACAAAGCATGCATTAATTTGTACTCTCCAAATTATTTTTTTAAATTTATTTGGGATATTTTATAAATGTAATTTTGTATTAGTAAATGTTCGTTTTATAATTAGTGTATATTAATAATGCATATTTATTGCATATTCTTACTGTTTTTATTACATATTTTGGCGTTTCATACTACATATTTTCCTGCCTCTATTTATGAGACATTATTTAAAGCACGAGTACTCACAAACTCAATGTATACAGGTCATTGGTAATGTAAATATTTAGGTGAGAGAAATGTAAAAAAAAAGTGTGTAAGTTTTGAAAAATGAAACAATAGAGGAATACGGCGTTTATGTCATCTTACACAGGACAATTAGTACCATCCCTACCAAAAGTTTGAAAAAACTTTGGAGCAGTTTTTTAGTAATTCTTTGTCTTTCATATTTTTGTGATGCAGATATTTCACGCAATATTACACGAAAACTACTAAAACTTTCAAAGAAATGTGCGTGACGTCAATGAAAGAACTAATTACGGAGAACAAAGAAAAAATCTGTTGGCCGCCAAATTAATTCAAATATGGTGCCACGCTTCGAACAGCTCAGTTTCGCTGCTCTTAGAAGGAAAAATTATACATTTCAAACTACTCGCCGCGGAGAGTAATTTTGCACAAAATCTTGTTCTAATCTTGCTCAAAAAACCGCGCGAATTCCCTCCTAATTGACCAATTCGCATTTTTTGTACAAAGCTCTTTGAAATCGATTGTCAACTGAATCGAAAAGTCACAAATATTGTCACCACCTGGGCGGCTGCGACGAAAGATTTACTCATTTACCGGAATCCACTTTTTTCATATTGACGCGACGAGCTGGTATTGTTTGAAAATCAGAGGAGCAGCGAGCAGTTTCGTAGCGATCGTGCAGAGAAGCTAAGTGACACTTGTCATGGAAAGTTTGATTCGGTACGTTGGCAAGCAATTCCCAGCACATTTCGGCAGTCTCCGTGACCTTAAACTCCAAAACGCGGCAGGAAACAGGCGTGCCTATGCAACAAGCATGAAATTCGTAAGAAAAACGTTTATTTTCGTCCAGACAGAGGTAACCATGACTATCTCTTCTGTACTCGTTGATTCTTTCGGCAAAGTAACCTTCGTCAATTATGTATCGCTTTTTTCAGAACTCCCTCGTCTGATGTGAACACAGAAGGAGATGTTCGTTGCAGTTTGTGCTAATGCTGTTCCAATTCATCTAAGCAATATTTCGCTGCCTCAACAATCTCTGTTCCTAGTAATAAGATATTAGCTTTTAAGTTTCTAATCTTCTTTGAGATGCAATGTTTTCATAATGCATTCTATATTGAGAGTATGTTAAGAATGGGCTTAAATTTTTCTGCAGGATTTGTTGTGGGGAAATTTTCTTGGTGATTTGTGTTAATAACCTAATATAATAATAATAATAATAATAATAATAATAATAATAATAATAATAATAATAATAATAATAATAACACAATTATAATTTCTTGAGAAGAAATATCCTGGTGTTGGATACAAAAGAAGAGCAAATTTGTAATTTATTATTAGATGTTTCGAAGCTTTATATCAGACAACAATTATCAAATTCAATAATTTTTTTGTAATCAATTGCCCTTGATCTTTTTTTTATATTGATCAATTACTGGTTCATATTTGGCTATTGCCCCGCAATCTACACCTTTATCATCATTGACCCTCTTTAAAATGTCTTCAACATCAAGTGGTCATAAATCTAGTGGGAACCATTGGTCTTTAAGATCGTAAATTTTAAAACTAGTATTGGCTTTAATTTTAATTTTTATCCTTGTTTACAGATTTCACAATTAGAAAGAACAACAAAAGTTTTAGAAGAAGAAGTTCAAAATTTACTGCAGAAACTTGCAAAATTGCACTTGGCAGATAATAAAAAAACATTCAGAGAAAATAAAGCAGTAAATTCTGACCATGATATCACTCAGCAGCAACATTCAGCTGTTCATTCACATTTCAAAGAGCAAGTCAGTAATGATAATTTTGGAAACGAAATGTTTGATTCATTAGAAATGCAAAACAAATGTGTTACTGAGGGACACAATTACCAAGCCCGGAATGGATCAGGTTTTCAAGAGAGAGGTAAGCAATTATCTTCTTTATTTTCTTCTGATCAACATGAAATTATTAGAAAACATGAAGTACATATCTACTGGCATATGCTGGTCAAGAAAGTAAGATTTCTTTTACTTTCAAAGGGAAAGATGGGAGAATATGCAAATAATTTACTGTTAATGAACATAATGAAATACACAAGTTAATTAATGTACTTTTCAATTGTTTAATAATCATGTGTCATTCAGTTTACAATTTATTCCTAGTTGTGTAAATATCAAAGAATGTGTAGAAGATTGTGAATTAACTTACTTCTTAATACAAATTTAATACCTTGAAATATTTGCATCATACAACAAAAAAGAAATAAAAAGAATTGTCAAGGACCCTCGAAAACTAGTAGAATACCTTCGGCCACTCCGTGTTCCGGAAGCCGACCCACACCAACCGCTATTCACACGCGGACTCGAAATGAGTACTCACCACCCACACTTCTCGGGCCGCCCTTATTAGCGACATGGACAGTCTCAACAAGGAAAAAGAGATACTCAGAGAGACTTTCCTGGCTAATGGCTACAGCATCTGCCATACAACGTGCCTTAAAGAACCTCGACGCACGAGATGACGCAACGACACCAACGAGCCTGCAAGCCCCCCTCGTAAGACAGCTCGAAGACCCGTACCATTGGCTCCGAGGACCGCTGGCGGCCACGCGTCATCAAGGAGGCCCATCAACTTAAACCGAGATGATGGCCTCCGCCTCAGCACCACCTGGAAACGCGCCTTCACGGCCAGCCAATGCGGCGCCCACCCCAGGGGACACACCCCTACAGTCGACCTATGACGGCCCTCATCGTTGCGAGAATTACTCCCTTCTTTTTTTGTATTGAACCGCTTTAGAATTTCTCCCTCTGTTGCCACCTTTCCCGTGGCCCCAACTTGCTCCTCTCCCCCGTTATGGCTCCGTTCTTTCTCCTCCAATCCCGTACCACCTTCCCGCTTCCTATTGGTCGACTACTTGACCAAACCCGTCCTCCCCTTCTCCTTCGCATAAGGCCAGTGCGCTAGCCATTTGGCAGCAGTACGCTCTGAAGAAGGCCACAATACGCTGGCCGAAACGTTAGCCACCATGTCAGTGACGCGGCTCGTCCCGGATGGTATTATTTGTCACAATTCTCTGTTGCCGCAGAAAATAATTGAGGATTCCAGAAACATTATTGAAAACTAATTGAAGCAATTCTAATCACAAATATAATTAAATGTGAATATTAAATAACAGTGAAACCTCGTCCTAAATCGCATTTTTTTTAAATATGTGGAGTCATTTTTAGGAAAATGGCGTTTAAGTATTACTTTAATTTCGAAATTTAAGTACCCCCCTCCCCACTCCCAGCTGTTCAGTGGACAGAAGTATTATTCGCAGTAATACTATTTGACTAGAGTTTTTATTTAAATATTTATGTTAAAAGTATGTAATTATTTAAACAATATTGTATAGTATCATATACACTTCAATAATAATATGATATAATAGATATATTTAACAAAAAATGATGATTCCCTTCCTCTCCCCCCCCCCCCACACACACACACACACAAAAAACCAGCTGGATCTGCCCTATTTAGTTAGTACACTCACCTGAAATACTGCTACTCATATCAACCCGTGTATGGCCGTGACATTTCACTTGTTGAATTTTCTCAAATGGTATGAGCTGGTTTTAACAACAAACATCTCAATTGATATTGTCTTGCTGCTTCTTTAGCAATAAGGAGTAAATTCCACTAACCAATTTTAAGTGCAAATTGTACCAACTTTCTCTTTTAGCTTTTATGATACCTTTAACTGGTTGGTTGCCGAGGTGTCTGCAGTGACTCTTTACTTTGAGGTCCCACGATTTGAGTCCTGGCGGTGGTGACTTTTCGCCAATAGGCATCCAATTCATCTGCTACACGGTGAAGAATTTTAGCAGCCGGCCGCTCTGATCGATACCACGCAAATGTCGGAGCAGCACCCTAACAAACATTTCACGGAACGCACGCAATCTTTCATTCCTCTTCCTTGTCATCTTGGCCTCATACACACGTACACTTACCTATTACGCCATCACGCATGTCAGAGCAAGCTAGAGCTTATTGAGGTCTCCTTGCTGAGGCCTGAAAGAGATACCTTGAGGGAGAAACACGCCGCAAGCTGATTTACAGGTCCGTGCTGGATCTCAGCAACCAGCCGGGGTACAAACACTGCCATCTCTCTGAACAAACCATTCGTAAACCAATGACCATTGCAGTTGATGTGCCCAGAGATATCAATCTGTTGATTCCATTCCGTTTTCTTTTGTTTGGAGACATTTGAAGGGTGTTATTTTATAATGCATCAATATAATTGTTTTTTGTCATTATGATAAACATTTTCTTTTGTTTCATTTATTCTTATTTTATTTTTTATTCACAATTTGGCTGTTCCACATGGAGATATATTAAAAAATTGTTTGTGTAGGTTGCAAACAAGAAGAAACTAGACACTTTTCATGGGAACCATCAATGCTATTTTTAGGTAAGCAAACCTCAAATTTACAAATTTAATTAAAAAGCTTAATTTGCATGAAGTATTAGTGTTTCGTATTAGTTTACTCTTTGTAACAAAACTCAAGGAATCAAGTACGTCTTCCAAAATTAAATCAAATTTGAGAATTTCAAAAACACAAAGGTGTTGGAAAAGAACTTGTTAGAAATACTCTAGAACCAGACAGTTCACATTCTCATACATCTTTTAAAATTGGTTTTAAATGTTTATCTCTCTCTCTCTCTCTCTCTCTCTCTCTCTCTCTCTCTCTCTCTCTCTCTCTCCTCTCTCTCTCTCCTCTCTCTCTCTCTCCTCTCTGTGTGTGTGCGTGCGTGTGTGTGTGCGTCTGTGTGTGTGTGGGGGGGGGGCGTGTGTGAAGCACGACACGTTCCAAATAAAGTATATCTTCTTTATATATAGAAGGAAAGAGAAATGTTTTCATTTTAATATTAGGTGATACAAATAAAAATGAGTAAGTACTCTAGAGCAATTGCTCTCGAGAACAATTAGGCACTACTACTACTACTACTACTACTACTCAGATGCAATTGCATATCGGAGCACTTCTCTCTCCGAGTAATTGCTCACTAACTGATCTATTGCGGTTGGTCGATTTTGTCTGTTTTGTCTACATCAACGTGCATATTCCTGATGGTGTCAACCATGCTCGTTTAAGGGCCTGCTTAAGTTCCGAATACTAATCCGACATATATTTTATCCGTCAGATAAAAGTACCTGATAGTTTGCGTTTCACCAAGGTCTTTCTTGTTAAAACTTCTTGATAAATAATCTTGTTGATTGCTCTTTCACCTGCGGCAACGCCGCTTTTTCGAGCCAAACGCGCTCTGAACGCGCGAATTCAAATGTGTTTTGCTAATGGCAATGTGAGGTGTTTTTCGTTTCATTCGTTGTTATTTAGTGTTACAGTTTACTTCGGCGTGAGCTGTGGGCGAGTTCGGCGTATCGTATCGTACTTGGTGTTTCGTATATCGTGTCGTACTTGGTGTGTGTAGAAGTTTCAAAATGGAAAGGGAAAAGAAGCGAGAAAGATGAGTTAATTTTACACATGAGGAAACACTTGTATCCCTCAGTGAGGAGACAAAAAATATTATTGAATGTAAAGTAAATGATGCTACCATGTCGCAAGATAAAGATTGCCATGGAAAGCTATTGAAAAAGCTTTCAACAGCTCGGTGGGTGATTCTTTTTGTGAAGGGAAACTTCAATTCATATTGAAGCTCTGATGAGAGATTATGAGAATCTGATTATAACTATCTAACTTTTTTTTTTAACAAAATTATAATGAAGCTCATGCTTACAAAAATGACTGATTCTGAAATCATAACTGGAGTAAGGTAAGGAAATCCATTACAATTTTGACATGATTATGGAGGATATTATTGAAAATTGATTCTTTAATTTCTATTGCCTATTTCACATAAATTACTCAATATTGAGACTTATCTCTGAGGACCAGCCTATTATATATTATAAAAATAAATGTATAAATACTATTCACTCCCTGAACAGAATTTTAGTGTATAATTTACAATTAAATACCATGTTTGATAATTTACAATTAATGCCATGTTAGAATCAAATCTTTTCACAAACATTGATGACAGTGTTCTCTCTAAAATACGAAGTAATTTAGGATAATAGACCCAGAAAATATTCTGTAATAATCTCAGAAACACATAAAAACAAAAGACTATTAATTCCATGTTAGAATCAAATCTTCTCACAAACCTTTACAATAAAGTTCTTTCTAAAATAAAAATACCATAAAAATATATTTTTATACTTTGTGGTGAGTTCCAATTGCCTTTATAATTTTTTTCTCTTTATTTTTAGTTAGTCATATCAACAACTAAGATTATTAGCAACCAGATTTATAGCAAGTGCTTAGACAATTGTAATTTCATCCATCATTATATTAACATAAGTGTCATAACATATATATGTTAACATTGAATGGCATCAGATATTATGTATAATACACAATACAATTACACAGTATTATCATGTGTCATTAAGAATATTACAATAATAATTAAGAATATTACAATTTTCACAAAACTTGATCAATTTGTTCGGACATTTGGTTGAATACAATAAGGTATCTAAAGCTTTACTTGGAGTAGTAGATTGTCTTTGATGACTGAATTTAGTGGTTTTCTATAATGTTGGATATCATTAAATATGTGTACAAATATCACAAAGAGGAGAGGATGTTTATACATTTTTGGGGTTTTTACGTTTATTTTTTGGTATTTACATTTAGATCTGTTCCTTCCACATCTGATTATTATTTTTTATTTGATTAATAGTTGCCTCTTTAAAATAATAAGGTTTATTTTCATGCTGATCTGCTCTCTCTCTTTTCATATGTGCCGCTCTTCTTCAAGTGAAAATGTATAAGTATGTTCTCACAATGAATTTTTTTTTTAGATTGAATTTTTTCTTTTTGATAGCATGTTTTATACAGTTCGGTTTCTTCTTCTTCTTGCGAGTGGTTTACATTTTTTGTGGCCGTTACAATTTTTCTCTTTCTTTTTTCCTTAGTTTCCATGTTTCTGCACCATACAATGTTATACTTTGTATGATAGAGTCAAAAAGTTTTTTCTTGGTAGACTTGGATATTTCTTTTCCCCAGAGCAGCGAGTTTCACTTTCTATTAGCTTGCCGTCCTTATGTAAATTTTGAAGCAATATCTTTTCTGGAATCTACTTCTTCGCTAATAATTTCACCCAAATATTTAAATTCATGGCATGCTTCTATCTGATCTCCATTTATTGGTATATAATTTATTTTCTTCTCTCCCACTACCATATATTTTGTTTTGAGGAAATTGATCTTTAATCCTGCTTTTTTGTATGTTTCCACAAGCTTTCGCATCATATACTCCATGTCAAACTCATCATAGGACAAAATCACCTGATCATGAGCGAATAATAATGTATGAAAGCAATCTTCATCAATGTATATTCCCACACTACAGCACATATTTTGCCATCCTCTTAGACTTTCTTGGAGGTAAATTTTAAACAAAGAGGGTTATAAACAACACCCTTGTGTCTAGCCATTTGTTTGTGCAAATGACTGTGAAACTTCATTTCCTACTTTTATTCTTGTTTCTTGATTCTCATACCAATCTTTTACTGAATTTATATGTTGGGCGCTGATACCAACCTTTTCTAAAATTTGGAAGAGTTTACCTAATGGAACTATATTGTAAGCTTTTTCTAAATCGATAAATACAAGGTAAGTCTCCCTCTTCTTAGCTAATCTCTTTTTAGCTTTATTGTAAAGATACTATCAATACAACTTCTACCAGCTGTAAACACACTTTGCTCATCTTCTTTATTAAACTCCCTTTCAATTCTCTGTTTTATAATTTGCCCACACAGTCTTCCTGTAGATGACGTTATACTTATACCTTTATAATATTTGCACTCCGATTTTGGTCCTTTCTTGTCTAATTGGTGTTAAAAAAGCTTGCTTCCATTCCCTAGGCAACTTTTCTCCTCACAAACACTTATTAAAAATTATTTGTAGTATTTCTAATACATTGGTTGGAGCATTTTTCAATAGTTCTATATGAATACCTCCAGGGCCAGGAGATTTACCATTTTTCATCTTTTTGATGGAGTTCTTTATTTCATTTAAACTTATTTCTTCTACCTTATAAGTGGGTGTAATATCCAATTGTCTGTTAGTTTCTTTCAGAGCTTCCTTGAATTTGTGACTATTCTCTTCAAACATATCTGAGTCAAATTTAACCCATTTGTCCATTTTTATAATTTGTAAATTAGATTGTGTTTTATTGTCTTGTCTTAAACATTTTATAAATCTCCATGATTCCTTGCTTTGTC